TTGGTTCCCGGTACCGGAGAAAAACCAAAAAAAAAAAAAAAAAAAAAAAAAAAAAAAAAAAAAAAAAGAGATTAAATGCTGCAGGCAGGCAGGACTACATGTGATACCAGTGGACACTGTAACAAGAGCTTTTCTGTATATTCTGTGAAGTGTGTCCTTTTTTCAGAAGTAGTGGCTATAGGAGTTTTATTTCTTGATCAAGCTTATTTTGAATCCATTGGGCGAGGCTAAACCGAAGGGGAGACACTGCCCCCTTCCTTGGAGGGCCCGGACGCAGGCGTTGGAATGGTGGCTTTTGCTCTGGTGGGTGTTGATAAATGTGCGTCTTCAGTCAGGAGGAAAGCTGCTCATTTCCCCTGAGTCAGCTATTTTGAGGGGCCCGGCAATTATTCCGAACTCTTGCCCAAGCAAATTGATGACTCCAGGGTGAGTGAAATCAATGCACTGGCATTTGCCAAACACAGGGTCAGACAAACACAGAATAAATTAGTTCCCCTCAGTCAGTTATTGCTTTGAGTAGGTGAGCCGAGGAAGAGGGGTGCTGAGGTGCACCCTGAATGTGAACTACCCTCTGCTTTCACTGCAGACACAAAGCGAAAGACAGCGAGAGGGAGCCGAAGGTGATCGTAAAACCGTAGCTTGCAAGGGAAAGGAGTTCTGCGAGCAACTCAGTTTCTTTCTCTGAATTGCACCCAGAATAGCACTGGCTCTTATTTGCCTGCACTGGTTAAAATGTAGACTTTTAATTTATTGTCAGGTAAAATACGAATTCCTGAAGTCTGAGTGATTCTGTTTCTGGAATTTCCAATGGGGATTACGGACTGTCACCGAATCATGACAGCATTATTTGAAGCTGATACTAGAATTACTTTCTTACGACCATCCTCAGCCAATATTGACAATAAGATGTGCTATTATCTAGTACAACCTGGCAGAGACTTCTGCAGCCAAAGAATCCATAATCATACCAGGCCTGACGGTCTGTCCACCTGAGAGAACAGAATGTCTAGGAACAGGGTATTATCTCAGAGGTGGGCATCCTGTGGGGAGTGCTCTCGAGACGTGCTCGGCTGCGGAGAGAGCTAATCTCTTGGTATTAGTGGATTAGCTTTATTCCAGGATAACTGTTCATAAAATAATTGGAAGACTGAAGCATGCTACACAGTGATATTGATGTGTACCCTGCATACGCTGAATAAAGAAGGAAATGCCAATCAGGAGATGCAGTCATTTGTGAGGAAATAAAGTATTTATGGTTTTCTTATGAAGCTTCATTGACATACGGTGCTTCCACCCAAGTGACAAATTAATTGACTGGGTTTAAAGAGAAATGAATGTGGCTTAATGAAGAAGGACAGGGTGTGTATTACGAGGCAGCTGGTTCTGTCACTGCTGGCTTATGGAGACAGTGCACATCGGACAGCTAATGGATCTCTGTTGCGTAAGATAGATTCTCTTTATAGTGGAATTGCATGCTTTGTCTCTAAATGGGGTTATTATACACACCATCGCGCAATATTTGAAGAGCTTGGTTGGCCCTTGTAGAGGGTTAGGCGAAATAAATTGGAAGACAGTTGTACTTAAGACCTTCAATCCATCAAACTCTCCATATTTATCTAAATTACTAGCACATTCTCCCAAAATACAAATTTGTATGATACACATGGCTAGCATGTTAATGCTGACCAGCCTTCACTTTGATTTTTATCAGTTAGGTTTTCCACTGAAAGCTTAGACCAAAATTCCTGCCTGGTGATAGAGTCCACCACTCCCAGCTAGTGCTGCTGCTCCTGGTGCAGCCCACAATCTGAGTCCCTGAGGTTTCCACCCACCGTAAGCGCATGCACATTGCTTGTCCTGGGTTATTCAACTCTAAAGACTCTTTCAGTATTCCGTTTTAACGGTAATGCATTCAGTTTCTTCTTTTTTCTCCACATTTGTGGGCCCTCCCTGTTCAGTTGCTTAGCTTTTCTTTAAAATAAATCCATGTCAGGTCATTGTACAGCCTTAAAAAAAACTGGAAGTGATGAAATAAGCAGGGGAGGGGGTGAGTGACAGTGCTGTCTACTCTGTATCAGAAACTGTACCTCCTGTTAGAAGTACATGTGTTTCCTCTTACAGCATGTGGGCATGGTTTGCTCTGAGGGTGTAGGTGAGGAGGTGGAGGAGTTTACCTCCTATATCTTCCAACCTGGCTTTGTTATATTGATGGCTTGATTCTCATGTTGATGTTATCACATGGTCCTCAGGAATTTTGTAGCTCAGTTTGAGCTTTTGAAGGCTATGCCTGTCTTTTAAGCCTGGGAGGAGGTGGGTATGGGAAAATGATTCTTGGGTATATGATAACTAGGATTTTGACTTGCTGAAGAATTTTGGACAGTGACAAGTCCCACTGACCTTGGTATTCTCACCTAGTATTTGCTTCGTCTAGACTTTCTCTGTGTCTTTCTGCTTTTTTATCCGAAACGAACAATGGAAAAGAATTACCCATGTAAAATGTTTCATGGTTCTTGGAGTAAGATGGTGTTTTCAGGTTAAGCCATTATTCTTCTCGAAACCAGATTGCTCCCTCTTCATCACTGTGGGGTTCTTTGCTTTTCAAGTCTGCCTGTACTCTGGAATAAAGAAAGGTGAGCCGAAGGAAATGGACAAACCATTTCATGGGCTTTTCCACATACATATTACCCTTTCCAAGTCGAATCTGGAAGCCTTGTCAGAAGTGTTATTTTTCCAAAAGAGCAGGCATTAAGTGGCTATAGAAAATAAACTCACCCCTGATATTGTTCTTATTGCCTGCTACAACCATTAACTGCGAAGATTATATTGTAAGGTGTGACAGGAGGTGTTGTATGGCAAAGGAAAATCACCACTTTGTAATTCTATTTATTCAGGTTTTCTTTAGCATGGGCTCTTGGGTTTCCTTGTGTTTTCTGGAATTATGTCTTAAATGGCAAGAGGGTTTTTAACAATGTATTTCTCCAGAGGCTTATTTCACCCAAGTAATCTTTAAGTTGTAAAAACACTTCTGTAGGTAGAATTGTTTGGCAACAAGGTTTCTATAATTTGGCCATGGAAGGAAAAACTAAAAAAAAAGATAACAATGAATTTTACCTACTTTTAATGGCTTTTATATACTCTGGCAAAAATAGATTATTTGGTGACAATGCCAGGATTGCATAGCTGTAAGTAGGAATTAGTTTCTATTTGACTAGATGTTTTATTTAATGAGAACCTGTGCTTATAGTTCTTTCTTTCACATAATTACCTTAAGGAAATGAGTGTGTACGGAGACTAATGAGTAGATACACTAGTCTTTCTCAATGTTTGTTCAAATTATTGCACATCAGAGATACAGAAATCTAGCACTGAGATGCTTTAGAAATGAATCTTTGCTGGTACACAGTATATTTAGTGCAAAGATCTGAGAACACATTATGAGCAATTAAACTCTAGGGTACTGATGAGGGTTCTGTATTACTCATTGTTTAAGTTATGGAAACCTGATTCGCTCTGGGTTCCTAGGAAATCCTTTCTTTTAGTCCCGCAAACTTGCCCTCCTCATCACCCTGGGGAAACCATTTCCAGTCCCTTTTCTTTCCATGTTGTCACAGTTCTTCAAAGACTTACTTTCTTGACTACTTTCTGGCTTTTATTCCTTGAAAGAGAGTCTTGCTATGCAGTCCAGGTTGGCTTCCGACTCGCCATCCTCCTGCCCCAGCCTCTCAAGTGTGGGGCTCACAGGAACGCACCACTGGTTCGTTTTCAGCCGGTGTGCCTTTTGCCTCCCAAATGTCACTGAGGCCTGTCTGAGTGACGTCAGCCACGATGTCCTACTGACACCCCGAAGCCGCTTTAGTCCTTCTCCTGCTGCTCGCACTTGCCTCCTTTGGTGCTGCTGGCCGCTCCAGTGCGCTCTGCACAGCCACCTTTCTTTGCCTGGTGCCGCACGCTTGCTCCCCCACATATCCTCTCCCCGTCTCCCTTCCTGACCCATCCCTTGTGTCTTGTTCTCCCAGTGATCTGGCCATTCTCCTCAGCTCATCCTGTATGTCTCCACACCTGGCCCCATTTTGCAGCTCCTCTTCCGGATTCCCCCAGAGCACAGGCTCCGGTGGCCTCTCTCTGGTCGGCAGCAGCATTTCCCCCAGGACATCTGTTAATCTTCCGTCTGTCTCCATCACCACCTCCCCGTGCCCGCCTCACGCCAGGGTTCCATGTTGGTGACTTTGGGCTCCTCTCGGCGCCTGCTCCTTGCTTCCTCACTTAGGAGTGATCCTAAATGGTAGGATCACTCCTACCTGATCACTCGTTGACTCCTTCAGATTCCACCTTGGTGACATTTCACAGCGATTTACCTTCCATCCCAGGTTCCTGAGGTCCGGCAGCTTCATCTTCTACTTGCCCAGGGCTCCTGGGCACTGTCTCCTCCTCCTGCTCTCTGCTTTGGGTCAGACTCCATCCTCAGGAGTCAGGCTCACCAGGGCTCCCAATTGCCTGACGGTTGCAGTCTCGCCATAGCCTGCCCCCCTCCCAAGAGCTCAGCTCTTCTCTCTACGCCTCCCCTCCTCCTGCTTTGTGCTCCTGAACAGCTGGACTCACTGTGCTCCTGTTCCACCACGGAACTCTGGCCTGAAAAACTCATGTTTTCTCTCCTTGCTTGGGGAAACCCCTGCTCATTATTGTTAAAACCTCCCAACCCCGTCCCTCCCAGCGTTCACTTGCTGCAGCCTTCGGTTGGGATCTCACAGCGCCGCCTTTGCCTCACAGTCGTGCGGTCCTGTGTCCAGGCTCCAAGGGCTTTCTCTTAGTCATCTGTCTTCCTATTTGTACCCGAGCACTGGGCGCACCCTGGGCCCTTGGTGAGGGTTAGGGATCGGCAAGCGCGTGTGATGAGTGAGCAGCTGCACAGTAGCTTAGGATGTCCCCAGACCATCCCGGCTACGGGTGAAAGGCATTTGGATGGGGCTGTTAATCTCTGTCCTGGGTTACGCTCTGCACAGGAAAAGGAGAAACTGTACGTGGAACTGAAGCACATTATGGCGCGGCAGCCTGGCCCCGAGGCTGCGGAACAGCTGCAGATCTATCGGCACACCCTGCGGGAGAAGACCAAGCAGTTGAAGGTAAGTGGCAGGTCTGCTCCATGCTGGTTTGGAGGCACCCTTGGGCCAGGTCTCCATGTTGGCACTGGCCTGGCGAGTGGTCTCCCTCAGGTCACACACCACCACGTCAGCTTTCTCAGAGCTCCTGAGCTAGCACACACTCCGTTCCCCAGAAGGAGGCTGCCAGCATGGGGGTGGGTAGAGCTGGGGGAGGATGAATGCAATGAAATGCACATTGGGAGCCGGGGTTTGTGTGGATGACCACAAGATGATTTAGAGGACTTCAAACCTGTAATGCTGTTGGCCAGCTGAAGCTGACCACTGGGCCAGAGCAGGTTTCTGCTACCCCGCTCCACCAGGAAAGAAAAGCTCCTCCCAGCCCCCAGGTTGTCCAGCATGACTGTTGGATAGTGGCTAGGAAAGAGAAAGAAAACCATGCCAGGCTTCTGTTAGCAGAAGTCCCTTCTAAGTAATCTAAGAGCCTCAGCTGGAGCGATGAGGTGTTTTCCTATTATATTTGCCTTTTGGAAATTTTCTTAAAAACTGTGTGTGCTCATACTGTATCTGGAGCTTCCCAGGCTAAGCAAATGCTCGCTATTCTTGGCTCTCTAAGCAAGTTCTGAGCACACAGCTGGGGAAGGCAGCAAGCGTCTACCGGCTCCTGATACTTACCTGCCCAACTGCTGCCTTTCTGCCTGGGTGCAGTAAATGTCACAGTATCTCATAACACTTTCAAAAACCAGTCCGTATCTAATTGTGTCCTTTCACACAAAAGGGGCAGTGGAATAAGTCTAATCAGCACATTAATTTTCAAATTGCTTTAAGCGTTCATTTTCTGCGAGTATACGGAGACAACATTTGAGCTCTGCATAGGGCATATGCTTTTATTTTTGTTACTTTCTAATTTTGTCAGGACGGGGTTGACTAGGAAGGCACACATCCGCCTTACCCCACTTATCTCTTGATGGCCAAAAATGGCTCCAACAAGGAACCCTTGGATATCTTCTTTAACTCCTTATCTCAGGAAGTGCACACTTTTCACCCAGAATGAAATGTGACCTTGCGCAGAAGAGAGGCTCTGAAGCAGGCGGTACTGGAGATGTCCAATTGCTTGATGTCATTATCTAGACTTTCGGGAAATTTCCCATTCGCTGTTTGGAGGCAGAGTCTTGTTCCTTGCATTTAATAGTAAGACAGGTTTTTTTTCCAATATGAAAGTCACAGTCTTTAGGTTACGATAGCATAGTCAGAGTAAGTTTTACAGCAATTGAAAAGAAAGTGTTCATAAGCAGATGAATACTCAAAAAGCAAAGATGTCCCTTTTATGCAAATTTTAAACAAGCAAGCAAGAGGAAACATAAACCGAGTCCGCTGCATGCTCCTCAGAACAGCAGTCTGCCTTTTCTCCTCTTGGTTCTGGTGGGGCGTGCACCTAGCTTGGGCTGGCTTTGTGTTTTATTTGGGTGAGGAAAGCCCAGCTCTGGTTCAGCCCAAGACCAGCGGCATCCGTTGAGCACAACCATGGCGGGTGAGTGACCCGGCTTCTCCTCACAGCTCCATCCTGCTTGCACTGCTTTCCTGTGCACACGCCACGGCCGCCTGTTTCTTAGAGCTGAGAGTTCCAGCGCTGAGATACAGGAAGGGATGGTGACTAGCCCTGAAGGACATAAGAAAGAGGAGGTAGACCTTTAGCAGAACAACTGCCTTGGCAAACATAAATTGAATGCCTGGTGGGGGCAGAGGGATTTTGGAATAATTTTTACCATGATACTGAGATGAGTCACATTCCCTAGTGGTGTTTTTCTTGAATATATATTTTTAAAGGTTTTAAAAGCAATTTTAGAATATGTGTCTGGGGGCTTTTCTGTCCCTACTCATAATATTCCTTGAATCACATTATAAGGATTCACCTTCGCTGTTTGACTGTTGCCTGATAGCTCTCTTTGGAAGCAGGAGAGTGATGTTTCATTTACCTTTGTCACTTGATTATGAGTCTTGGCCAGGGTTTTACTCAGATATGGACCTCGAGCCTGGGAAAGAAGCAGGTGAACTGTCAAACCTGTCCATCATTATGTACTTCTAGCCAAATGGTAGATGAAAAAATGTTCAGAGAAGGATATTGTTTCACCCTGTGTCTTTTGCTAATACTGTTTTACTTACCGCATTAGGTTTTGTCTTCAGAACTGAATATGTACGAATCACAGAGCCAAGAATATAAGTATGAGATTGAGAAACTCGGCAATGAGCTGATGAATGTGAAGAAGAAATACCTGGCTCAGAAACGCAAAGAACTTGTTCAGAAGTAAGAACTGGTCAAAAGTTCTGATTTTGTTGGGCCTGTTACCTGCTCATAAGAAAATATTCAGTGAATACTCAAAGGGTTGCAGACTTCCCTGGGGTAAATGGAGTCACAGGGGGAACAGATGGTATTGCGCAGGTCACTAACTGGTTCATATAAGAGCAAGACCAATGTCTCATCCAACACGGAGGCCCTTCCTTAGGACCCTAACAGGAATTCCCTAATATCGGGTGGGTCTAACTTGGGACAGAAGGAACGGGCTGGGGTCCCCCACGCTCTTCTATAATTTTGGAAATAATTGTGCCAGGACTATGTTTGCAATTGAGCCTTGCACAGGCTGAAGCTACTTTACAAGGAAAACCACATGCATTTTTGCTAAGGGAGCAGGCCTTGGCACAATTGTTCTTACAAGGTAGGTGTACCACTGTAATTACAAGCAGTTCCTATGCTTTAGATAAACTATCTCTGAGCCGTCATCTAGGTCTCATACTTGATTCAGTATCTGCCGTGGGGTGTTGACATGAGCCATTGTTTGTGGGAGAGGATAATGCAAAGATGAAGTTCACACTTTGAGCTTCAGGTGCCCCTGCATTGACTCTAAGCATTCCCTTCACTACTTGGTTCTTCGCCTGATCCTAGGCTGGGGTAGAAAACCCAAATGAATCAGTAGGCTGGAAACTTGGTTTGGTGGCATAGCCTTTCCAAAATCATCCTGCTACTCTGGTTATGACTTGCCTTGTGGATTGACAGTCATATTTAGTATTTCATTTCCATGGATATTTGGACATGTGATGCATACAGTTCAAATGCATCAGACTATGATCTGGTAGAGGCAAACGCCAGACAAGTAACCAGACACAAATTCACTTGCCAGTAAAAATCCTCCCTTCTTGTAAATCAGAATACCCCCAGTTCCACATTTAGATGCCATCTTAGTAGAGAAAAATACTGCTATCATTTAGATAAGTCTTACTGTGTAGGAGTAGCAACAATCTCATTGAGAATCTCTAGCACAGTTTATTAAACATCAAGGTTCCTGGGCCCTGCCTCCAGCTCATCAAGTTCTGCAGGCTCTGGGTGGGCTTGGAAATCTGCCCTTTAGCAGGCTGCTCAGGTGATCTTCATGTACACAGAAGTCTGCATACCATGAGATTAAAGGTGTGAACTAAATGAACAGTGGAGGGAAAGCACTATGGGTTTCTTTTAGGATATCACAGTCATGCTTGGAAAACGTCAGCATGGCCGGTTCCCACAAGAGGCAGGTGTCTAGCTCGTTGGTCTTCAAGCTTTGACACATTCCCTGATCAATAAAGCTTCCCCTACCATATGCACGTACATATTTTTAAATACAATTTTTATTTTAGAATAGTTTCAGCTTTATGTCCATATATTTTAATGTATAAATTACATACTATTATCATTTTGTAACTATGAAGGAGGTGTCATTGTCAACCTTTAAAGATAAAAGCGTAAATAGGAGCTCGATGCCTTCATCCTGCACTCGGTGGGCCCTCTCACTGCCCTTGGAAGACAGTGGTCTAGTGAACACGGTTCCAAACAGCTGGTGCAGCTAAGCAGCGACAACTGTCATCCTAAGCTGACTCTCTCCCATGGCCTGGTGCTGGGTTTGGCCTAGTCTCCTTCAGGCTTACTGAACATTGCGTCTTTTGCTGGACACGGAGAACACAAGGAGCCATGTTTTGTGGGCTCAGCCAGCCCTTCCCTACGGCCCATCCATGAGAATCATGGTGCCCCAGCCATATGCCACTGTGGCTATTTAAATTCAAACACATTCCTGCTAAAGCAGATTTAAAATTCTGTTCCTCAGTTGCACTGACTGCATTTCAAGTGCTCAGCAGCCACATGTGGCCAGTGACGATTCCATGATTGCAGAAAGATTCGTAGGACAAGGCTGCCGTGGAACCTTTGCCTTTCCTTGTCCTTAAATGCTCATCAGGGGCAGCCACTTTGACCTGGCTGGGCTTCAGTGGTGGTTCCATCTGGCTGGGGACATAAACTGGTAGACAGAGAGCTGAGCTCATAGCAAAAGAGAGGAAGGTGTTGGAGAAAAATGTGCCCAGGCAAGAACTAAAATGCTGAGATGGTTTAGATTGGAAGGAGGAAGGCTGCAGGGAGTCATTATAATGGTCTATAAATACATTAAAATGATAATGTAAAGGAGACAGTATTCCCATTAGTCAGCTTAGACCAAGCCAGGAGCATTAAGCTTAAGTTCCTCCAGAAAGGGAAACTTAGGTTATTTAAGGCAAGGGCATGCAGGGGAAGGGAAGTGAGTGCAGCCTGCGTCTCACACCAGTCAGGAGCCAGACAAGCTGCCAGAGAACACACAGGAATCCTCTTCGCTGGATCCACTCAAGGCAAAAGCTTTGTCCTATTTAGAGAGGACGGTTATTCACAGTAATGAAATCAATTCTGCTAAGAGATGGCTGTGTTGATTAACCAGTCCTCTAAGGGTATTTCCAAATGGAAAAATTTAGAATGTTCTCCCACACATGCCCTTTATAAAATAGCAGTTCATATCATTTTTTAACTTTCTGCCTTCCCTCACTTTTCTTAGACATTCACCTCCACACTCACTGGTTCTCACGGGCATCTCTTCTACCCCTGACTCTGCCACCGGGGCCCCCAGGCTGGTCTAGAATTTTCAGGGTGGAACTCTTTGTCAAGAGGCAGAATTCATTCTCTTAGTATAAAACATTCTTAGTTGGCTTATCTAATTTATTTGGATTCAGCAGTTTGCTTAATTGTTGTTTAAAGAAAATTCCACTGGTATTTTCTCTAAGATCCTTGATCACACAATAGATAACCTGTGGAAATCTAAATTACTTCCAGAAGAAATTTGAACAGATGTTGGTCTGTATATGTATTTTAAGGAGATTCATATAGAAAATCCACTATAAATTTTAGGGTGGAACTTCTTTTATCTGTGGCCAATAATCGTATTTTACTTTCCTGCTCCAAATTTAACCATTTCTAGTAATAACTGTTGCTTGTCTAGAGTTATGGGGAATTTTGTATTTTGTAAATGTCCAAGTTGGATGAGACACATTATGTTTGGTAAATATTTATAAATTTCAACCTGAACTTTGGAATGTGGCAGGTGATAACTGATGAATTAGTCACTATAATTGAGCTATCAGAAAATTCTGGTTGATGTCTGGAACTAAACAAATGTTTTATTTTTTTTTAAATAGGAGGGTGATTACAAGTCAGAAGCCACCAAATCTATGGTATTTGAGTGGTAATGAGGTCTTCTGTCCATGTTTAGATCAACATTAGGAAAGCACATTTCACTAGGAAAGCACAATTTTCTCTTCCTGACTCTGTGTGTTATCAACAAACACCTAATTAGATTTATACAACCACCTTGTCTAAAACTAGAAGCTCTAATCAAAATTGTTCTCAGTGGCTAATTCACCCTAGGAACTTACAGAACATCAAAGTAGATGGGGGAGAAGATATTAAGGAAGCTAACTTTCACCTCCTCTTTTACAGGGACAGAGACAAAATACCCATAGATAACACCTTCTTGATCGCCAAACCCCCCGGCCCTCGTTTTATTGGGGGTGGATTTCCCCTCACCAAGACACCCAGAATGATGTCCTAACGTCAAGCTTCTGCCTGGGTCCAGTTCAACAGCTCACAAAAGGAAATTTGCACTGGAACGTTTCAATGGAAGCTCTTTTATAACCTTTGGATCATAAATATCTAGGAAAATCAGGTGCCCAGATTCCAGGATGGAAAGAAATGCAGAACATGCTCATATACACACAAGAGTGATACCATTTTACCTGGACCATGTGGACTTCAACAGATTAGAATTATAATTCTCTCTATTCAATTAGGCTGATTCACTGAAGGAAGCAGATTTTTTTGTTACAACCACATCAGTTGATTTGAAATGAACCAGATGTAGATACTCCATACGGATGAAGCTTTGGATCTTACTTTCTCTATTATAGATATTTATGCACTTGAAGGTTTTATATTTAAAATATTTTTGATATGCAGTGCATCTCCTCTCTTCTTATTAATAAGAATCAATTTTAATTATTCCTCATTAATGAGTCATTGTGTGAGATAAGAAAGAAGGACAAGCTCTGAAACACATAAAGCGTTTTGAGAATGATTTCTATGTGGAATATCTTTTTAGGCCTGGGGTAGGAAAATCTATTCCAAAGAGATACACCAATAAATTCTTTATCGTAGAAATTAAGAGAACTGTTGCAGAGATTTTGATCTTTGCTTGAGTAGAATCCGTCATTAAAATTTGAAATTACTCTGAGAAATATTTACAGGAAAGGCTTGATTCAGAAGAGCCAGGACTGTGAATTGAAGGACCTGGGCTGGCATCTTCTGTAGACCTCACAATTGAGAAGGTGATAACTTAGCGCAGGGATCCCTTCGCCCCTGGGTGGCCAGCCAGCATTTTGAGCCATTGAATCCATTGTCTTTTCTTTATATTGTAGCCACAATTATTTGGGCATCGGTTCAGTTTCTTCATGAAGAGTGTTCATTCAGTAATGTTACGTGAGGACCCTGTGGCCATCTCTCTCACAATACCTCAATCTCTGTAAATTATTAAATTATTGAACAGCAAGTAGCTCAGGACTGAGCAAGACTAATATAAGTGGATCATTAGAACATTGTGTTTGTACAAGGGGTCATGGTTCCCAGTGTGAAGAACCATAATGTCAGGGAGCCATGACCTTTGTCAGACTGTTCAGGAAGGGAGCCCCTGGCGGGAACTTCTGGGGGTCCAGCAGCCCCTTCAGCCCACCAAGGCCAGTGTCCCCTCTCAGGTGGCCTTCTCCAGAAGCAGGCTAAAGACAGGGATGGCCATGCAAGCAATTTCTTAGGAAAGGATCCCAGAAAAGCCAGTAAGAGAGTGCAGAAGGGAGATGCACATGGGAGGGAGGCCAAGCAAGGACGGGATGTAGAATCAAGTTCCACGAGGGCAGACTGGCTCCGTCTTGCGGGGGAGCTCTGGAGCTAAGGTTAGCACAGTTCAGAATTCCCGTCAGGGCTGCAGTGAGATGTTTTCAGCGCCACGCTGTTAGTCACGGCGGAGAACTGCTCTAGAGAGGCCCTCTGACCCTCCCTGGCTTCAAGTGCAGCAGCCCCTGGTAACCGGAGCATTAGTAGCACTGGGAGAGCGAGCTCACGGCATGGGCTGCTGAAGTGGAGATGGATAAGGGATCCAGTGTGAGTGAGGTGGGCAGTGTCCTCCTCCCCTGCTTCCCTCAGATGGGCTCAGGAAGAGAGCTCTGAGGACAGGAAGCAGCACGGCTACCCTGGGGGGAGGTGTGATCGTCAGATCTCTGGGCAGCACGCAGGGATGTGGAGGCTGCACAGGTTCCCTGGAGAATTTGCTTTCAACCCAAAGACTCCAAAGGGAGCATTTCTGGCATCTCCCCTCAGAGCCAGTCGTAGCCTGGTGAGGCGAGAGACACAGTGCTGGAGACTTTCCCACCCACCTGAAGATGTTCTGACTACAGCTGCAGCCGTCTGCGTTTGCAGTCCTGGAGTGGCTTCCCAAGAGACTCCCTTGTGTAGGTGAGCCAAGCTGTGCTTCCTCCTCTCTCAGCGTGGCAGAGACTTGGAGACAATGGCTGGGTTCAGAGTCTGATTTATTATCACAATGGCTTGCTTTGAAGATTGGCCGAGTTAGAGCAATGGGAGGCACATAGTGATAGTCCATCAACATCTGCCGTTGTTATTATTACATAAGAGATGCCTGACGCTCTGGAATTAGAGAAGAAAGCTGTTATGTAATGCTTGCTGATGATAAAGGTGATCGTGATCCTCCTTGAGAGGGTGGAAGACATTAAAATGTCCCGATGGAGCTGGATTTGGTCATTTACAACTGAGCATCTTGTACACTGTGTGCCTTATGAACGTATCTATTTCTTGTAATTATGCTCCGAGGACAAAGTGGCCCTTCACCTTGAGAAATCAGATGATCAGTCTTCGTGTAGTCATCAGGCAGAAGACCCCAGTGGCCCCTGCTGACCTCCCTTCTGTTTCTCTTCATGGCCCAGAGCAGGGTGTTCAGGCCCTGCCGCAGACCGGGTCCCCCAGCCCACGTGGAAGCCGGCTGCAGGAGCTGGCGGGCAGCCCCATCAGACGCAGTCCCCGCGCTTGAGCGGAGGAGCGGGGCGTGGAAGCTGGGGCAGCTGCTGCCCTCCCTCCACCTCTTCTTCGCTGCCCACCCTAGCAGCCCAGCGTGTTAAAAGCAATACCTGTCCCCTTGTCCCCCAGCTGCTGCACAGGAAGGAGCTGTTAAAAACACTGAGATCTGCAAATCATTAAAGACAGCTGTGAACTCACAGTGGGCTGAGGTGCTTTTAAAATCACAACCTTCAACTTCATTGTAAAGCAGCATTAGGAGATTATACAGTAGCATAATTTGACACCGGGGGTTTCAGAGTTTCGGAAGGGAGTCCTGTGCTAAGGCATGCCTTGACTCCCACCCAGGCGGATGGGGAGCTGGTGCGGCTTCTCTATTAACAGAGAGAAGCATGATCAAGGGGACTCCTTGGTCATTATTTGCTGATCGTAGCTTCTCAGTGCCTGCTCTTACAGCGGGGTTTTTATTGTGCTTCCCTCTGAAGAGTCGCTGGGAGCAAAGGTCTGTGACTGTGATAAGCCACTGAGATCCTGGTGGCTGTGGAGGAAGACATGGCAGCAATTCTTCTTGCCATTGCTGTAATTTTGCTATAAATTTTTACCCAGGGCTGATAATTATCATTTGATTTCCCAACTTGCTTGGGCAGACTCTGAAGTTTGACCTAGGAAAACTTGATACCCATAGCAAAATACTGCATATAATGCAATTTGAGTGGGATGGCATTTCAGAGGCAGGATAGTTTGCAAAAAAAGATATTATCCCTTAACCATAATCCATTTTATGGAGATCTACTTAGGCTAGAAGCAAATGGAGGATATTTTTAAATATTAAAATTGTAAAATAACTTAAAATATAGCTCACCATTTTCATTATAGTAGATAGAAAATATTTTTATAGCATTATCCATTTTTAACTTCTAATTCAATGCTGTTTTAGTGTACCATTTCTCATATCTATTATTTAAAAGTTCCATTAGGATTTTGAGATCCATTAGAATTTTATAACAGTAGGAAATGTGGTATCAACAGGGTACCATTCTTTTTTTATAATTAAAATAGATTTTTCTTATTTTAAAGTACCTGATTGTTACAGAAAATTAGAAAATACAGATAAGGAAAAAGAAGAAGAAGATCGGGAATCCTACTACCCACCCAGAACTACAGCCAGTTTTCCTGGGCTGACCTCCATCCCCTGCACATGGGTTTCCTGTATAGTTGCTAACACCCACTATTTCCTCTCATTGACCCACCTTTGTGCTTCCTAATTGTTAAATATTTTGAATGTGACTCTTGAAATACTACTGTTTTGTACTTTTGGGTGTATCTTTCTGGACTTTTAAAAGAAGTATACACATGTATATAGATGTACAGTTTGTAAGTTTTGAAAAATGCTTATGCCCAAGTAACTGCTTCCACAGTCACCTCCGCCATATTCTTTTTGCCACCTGGAAAGTCAGTATCCCAGTCCCCATCCAGTGGAAGCAACCATGGATCCGTTTTTTCATCATTCTCCTTTAGTTTCCTCTTTCCTGGAATTTCATAAAAATGAAATCATACACTATGTTCTTTTGTGCCTGACCTTTTTCTTGGTGCTTTTTGAGATTCCCCCGTGTTGTTGTGTGTATTAATAATTCATTCACGTTTATTGCAAAGCAACATTCTATTATTGTATATGGAAATAAAGCAATTTATTTATTGTGCTAGTTGATGGGAATCCAAGCCATTTCAAAGTTTGAGCTATTATGAACAATCATATAAAATTGGACCTGTGTTACTGTTTTTCTTAGTAAATACCAAGGAAAAGAATCACTACATCAAAAGGAATGTGCACATTTATCTGGATAAAAAAGTGCCAAACTGTTTTCCCAATCATATGATTTTACAATTCTACTAACAATGTACAAACTCCAGTTGTAGGTCATTGTTGATACTGGGTACTGTCAACATTTTTGAAGCCATTCTGTTTGCTAGTGATCTCCCAATGAGGTTTACATTTGCATGCCCTCATGACTAATATGAGTAAGCATCTTTTTGTGTGAGTTTGGTCATTCCTGAGTCTTGTTTTGTGAAGCACCTTCAAATCTTTGTCTTATTATTGGGTTGTAAAAGTCCTCTGTGTAGTCTAGATACAAAACCTTTGTCTTATGTACAGCAAACATTTTTCTCAGCCTGTATCTTAGCTTTTCACTTTCTCAACAGTGTATTTTGAAAAGCAGATATTTTAACTTGTAATAAGGTCTAATTCAGCCTTATTTTTCTTATGGGGTTTGTAGCTTTCTAGTCCTAAGTAATTGTTGCCTACTCTAAGATAGCAGTGATTTTTTGTTTCTCTTGGTTTATAGTTTTCTCCAGGGGTTTATTATGATTCTTGGTTTTTATGTTTATGTTAACGATGCATTTTAGTGTTAATTTTAGGTATGATGTGAGATTAGAGTAGAAGTTCAATTTTAAAAATTTACTAAATTAAAAAGTACACTGCATTTTTGTTGACTATTGTCGCTCTATTATGCAACAGATTTTAAAATTGAAACTTTGTACCCTTTGATCAACACCTTCCCATGTCCCTCCCCCGCCTCCCCAGCCCTTGATTAAACTACCGTTCTACATATCTGTGAGATCACATGGCATCTGTCTTTCTGGGCCTGGCTTATTTAACTTAGCATAATATTTTCCACTCATCCCTGCTGTTGCTAATCACAGGACTTTCTTTTAAAAGGCTGGAATGTATACATTTCATGTGTGTGTAGACCATATTTCCTTTATTAATTCAACCACTGGTGGATACTTAGGTTGACTTTGTAGGGTATTGTGATCAGTGCTTTAAAGAGCATGGGAGTATAAATATCACTCCTTAATTTGAATCCACACCCTTACAATTATAACTGTTTGATCTCTGGTAAGTTAAGTACCCTTCTTAGCCTCTGGATTCGCATCTGTAAGATGGGCATCATAGTTCCCATCTCAGATTTGCTATGAGGATTAAACGAATCTGCAAGTAATATCTGCACAGTGCTTGGCACACAGTGAATGCTGAATAACTGATAGCTTTATTACTATCTTAAAAAGCTCCTTATTTCTAAATGAATAGTAGCCTGGGAAGTTTTAAAATATTCTTTTTTTTTTTTTTTTTTTGGTACTGGGAATTGAACTCAGGACCTTGTCGCTTGCCAGGCAAGCATTTATGCCGCTGAGCTATATCCCCAGCCCTAAAATATTCTTCTGAGTAGTCTGATGAATAATAAACATCACAGAGACTGCTTAACTATTATCTGAATGGATATGGTCAAGAATCTTCATTGGATTATGAGGCTTTATAGTGTGCTCTTTAAATAGACATTAAAAGATTGAATGGCCATTAAAGTATATTGTGTCAATTCTGTCTCTTTCACATAAGTGATTAGTCTTTTTTACGCTTCATCTGAGACAGAATGCCAGGAATCTTTCTTTTGGTCCCAAAATAGAACTGTTCTCTTCTACAGCTTGAACACAGGCAGTGCCTTCTTCTCTGCTCTGAGTGTATCCGCCATCCCAAAGGGCTTAAAGACCTAGTTTTCAGCCACACCCCAGAATCTTTGGGAGAGAAATTCACATTCTCAAACCCAGTTGCACAGGAGTCACTTGGGAAACTTTGAAGCATGCCAGTGAATCCCTCTGCAGCGGTGCGGACTTCATGGCCTGGATATAGCATGGGCATCAGGATCTTTGCAAGCTCTCCACAGTTCTGCTGCTCAGCCAGGCCGGAGGATGTTGCTTTACACATGGTATCTCATGAGAAAAGCCCATGTGCACATACACACAGCTCCACTATTGAGTGTGGAAGCAACTTCCTGGGTCACAGGACTCAATGTCTGAGGGCAGGACTTGAACTGATAAGCATGTTTGATTAATCTGATCTTGTCCAACTTCATAGTTTATCCCAGTCTCCAATCCAGTGAGGTTCACCCTACTTCCCATCCCGAGTCCCCTCCACCCGGCCCATCATGCCCTCTGAACTCTAACCTGGGAACAGCTTCCCTGCGTCTTCCTCTTTCCTCTAAGAAGTTCTCCTCCTCTCCTTGTCCTCACACAGGCATGGCTAACCCCTGCTTTCCTGTAACCCTTTTGGTTGGAGACCATTTTCGTTTTAGATATCACCTTCCTCTTATCTTCAGCTTATTGGGTTAGGTGTCATCCTTGATCTGTATTACTGCTCTCATTCTTATTTTCTTTTTGCAAACATCTGGGGTGTTTGAAGTTGGGGAATGTGGCTGTACCACCCACTAACCCTTTGGATTGCATTCGTCTGCCTACCCTCCTCCTGAGGACCCTCCTCACGCCCCAAGGATGTATTCCTGCTGGCTGAGGGTATGCTTTTTCACTTCTGACTCTCATTGCTTCTGGAGACTTCAGCTGCTTTGTAGGGGACAATTCTCGAGTTCCAATAACACCAGTCTTGTGATCTTGATTTGGAATATTCTGTTATCTGACAGTGGCTTCCTCGTCTTCTAATATGACCTCGTCTTCTAGACTGACCAGTGCAGTACTTTTCTCACATCACTGAGCCCTTCAAAATGCGCACTGTACTATGCTGTCATTATTTATCTCTCTCTTTTCCTCTTCCTCTAGATTTTATGGCCCACAGTTGCTATTGTTGCATGTGAATACTTGTAACTCCCTTGATCCTTCTGCTGTAATGGACTAGCAGAGCTCCTGGTGTGAGTGTACATCCTCTGCCTTCTTCCTGCCACCCTTCCTCATCTCTTCCCTTCTGACTTTTAATTCTTGACTTGCTTTGTACTTAACTGAGAATGTAGAATGTAGAATCGTCCCATCAATGTCCACAAACCCACTTGCAACTGTGCGTGTCCTCTCCACTTCCCTCCCACTGAGAGCTCAGACAGTGCTTTCAGAGGCCAAGCCCTCTTCTTGTGTCCTAGATTCTATGTCCTCACTTCCTTGAGGACTTGGTGCTTTAGCAAGTTTTATTACCTCTTTCCTGCATTACCAGCTTGTCCTTTGCAGGTAGATTTCCATTAATTTTTAGCTGTTTATTAGCATGACTCATAAAAGTATCTTCCTGGATTTCACATCCTCTCAGCTCACACTCCAAAATCTTTTTCTTCCAGAAAATCTTCCAGTAAATTTTGTAGTCTTGGTCCCATTCACTCTTCAACCCTCTCGAATCTGTCTTCCATGGCTGGGGATATAACTCAGTGGTAGAATGCTTGCCTAGCATGCACAAAGCCCTGAGTTCAATCCCCAGTACCAGATACACACACACACACACACACACACACACACACACACACACACACATCTATCTTCAGTTTCTAATCAGACCTCTGAAAAATTCAGGTCCATCAGTCTTGTATTAGTTATCTTTCCACCATTAGGACTAAATATCCAACACCTACAACTTAAAGGAGGAGAAATCCATTTTCAGGGATTCCGTCCATGACTAGCTGGCTCCAGGCCAGAACTGGCATGGCAGAAAGGCCTAGTGGAGGAAAGCTGCTCACTCCATGGATGCCAAGAAGGAGAGGAAGAAAATGGAGGAGCTTGGGACAAGGACACACCCTTCCAGATTGTGCCCCCAACCCCCTCTGACCAGGACCCACTTCTGAAACTGAGACCCTGGGACATTTTTAGATCTATCCCTTAACAGACCCTTTCCTGTCCTAATCTTATACAGTCTGTCAACCACTCTGATGCAACTGACTGCTTCCTCCTTGAAACATTATTCCATACACTAGTCCTGGGACATGAAATTGTTTGATGTTTTTCTTATGAGTAGATTGGAGTTGTGTTTTTTTTTTTTTTTGAAGAATTCCACAGAAGCAAAGTACCTCTCTAATGCTGTGATTTCTGGAGGTACACCATAGCCACGGGACTTCACTGGTGATGTTCACCTTCATCATTTGGTTCAGGTAATGCTTGCCAAGTTTCTGTACTGTAAAATCACTATTTTCCCTTGCCCATACTCTGTTCTTTGGCAGTGAGTCAGTAATTCTGGCACAACTTCAACCCAGAGTGATGGCAGTGATTAAGTTCAACCAGCAAAGATTTTAAAAACTTGTTTCAGAAAAAGAAGCTATGGCTCAGATTAAATAAATTTACACAGGTCACACATAGGTGTATGCTAACAATGTTGGTTTACAACCTAAATAACTTATAACGATCTAACTTGTGTTCCTGCAGATGACCTCACATGAGGGATTAGTTTGACTGAAGTGCTTTAAAAAAGAAAACTTCCAATAAAATACAAATATATGTTCTCAGTAAGATACGGAACCATTTCTGCCACCTAGTGTGTAGGATGATAAAAATAAAAGCATTTCAAACAATATTTATCATTGTCATCGTAACCACCACACTGTTGATTTGTAGGCAAGAAAATTTTAGTGGCTTCCAACTCATGTTCTCTGGTTTGGATCTGGTTTGCACTTGTGTTTCATTTGGCTTACACAGTATTTACAATTATTTTCTGATTTGATCACCAATTTTCAAGAACAGAAATTTCACATGCAAATCCAGATGAATCCTTCCCTTGGAGGTTTGAGAGACTGGGCGTGTTGGTTCTTCACTCAGCTAAGTTGTTGGTCGCATGGTGCCAGCTCACCACTGGTCTCCATTAATGAGGTGCTCTGTTTCCTCTCAGTCCTTTGTCACACACCTGCTAAGTGTGCTTTTCGGCTTAGGTAGCTCTCTGAGCCCAACAGTTCTGCTGAAAAGGATGAAATTGCTCTTCCCTGTCGGTTGAGGAGTTACTAGCTCAGGATGGGAGTTGGCACCTTCTATAGCAATCAGAGGGAAGAATCAGCATTGAAGATCAAGTTGCAGGGGGCAGGCTGCAGCAGATGGAAGGTGGAATGTTCGACAGGTATTTGCATTCTGTCTTGGTTACTTTTTTCTCATTGCTGAGACAAAATGTCCAACGCCCAAGATTAAGGAAGGAAAGGTTTATTTAGCTCATGGTGGAGGTTTCAGTCCATACTCAGCTGGTTCCAAGGCAGAGTGGCTCATGGCAGAGGGGAATAGTTTATGGTGGTGGAAAACAGCAAAAACAACAGGAGCAAAAAAGGAGGAGCAACAGCAAGCAGCCTCCTTCCCTCCCTTACATTGTATGCAAACTACCCTCCCCAGGGCGGGTATAGCACTCACATCCATAATCCCAGCATTGGACCATGAGCCAATCATAAACTCTAGAAGCCCTCCCCATGGCTGCATGAGGCTCTGGGGGAACATCTAGACACAAACCATAACACATTCTGACAGTGCAACAGGCTGCCTCAAACATGGTGACTCTGTTTTCACCCACAGTGGTCAAGCAGAAGCCAAGATCATGAGTTAGGGCTATCAAAGAGAGCAGTTCTGCACCGGAGAAAATTTGCAGCAGAAACAATGGAAGAAGCACTTCTAACTCAAATATCATGCAACTCTATTTTCCTGAAATTAATAAACTTGATGGATTGATAATTCCACTCATAAAGAAGTAATTGTACCTAAGAACTGATTAAAAAGGAAAGACCACATTAAAACTCCCAATTTCAAAAATCTGGACAGCAGAGACTGCAGCAAACTGAGCTGACCTGTAAGTGCTCCAGGAGATGATGAGAAACAGACAATGAT